CCGCCCAAGTGCGCAGCTTACAGGGAACACAGGTCTATTGTAATAACTGGACCTACAAATTTACCCTAACTGTGAGCTCAACTGTGAAAAATATTGTCATGAATTGTCACAATAATCAGTTATATAAAACTGTTTAAGAAAAGATGTGAGGAGACAGAAAGACTGAATTAATTTAAACAGAAAGGGTCTACTGACACCATTCAAGGACTGTGTTAAGATTATGACTGCTAAACAAGAGTACCAGAGGACTGGAAATCAATGGACCAAAAATTAGGAAATTACAAAATTTGGAAATTAGGCCTAATTGGTGGGAAAAAATAATGAGAAGATGAATTATTCCACCCGTCACCTTTTTGAGGCCCTTAAAAAGAGACTTTTGTGCTCCCTTCCATTATGCGGGTGCAGACCAGTGACCATTGCTTGCTAAAAATCTCCAGACTTAGGCGCATCATGTACATATGTGTACGCACATGTGGAATACACATCAGGACCATCACTTGAAGAACCACCCTGAGACACCTGTTGTGTCCTCTTCATGGTTCTCACTGCATAAAGACATACATCATAATACCCTTATATCTGCTTGTCCTAGACAAGTTACCCACTGTAGAGCACCCACCAGATCCATCAGTTGGCACCACCCAGGGGGTAGGCAATTCACAGCTTTGGCATCTCCATTTCTGAGACATGGAGTGAAACCCTCAGATTAAAGCAGAAGCGAAGAAACCTGTCCCCTTCCCATCGCTTCTCCTTCTGATGGACAAGTAATGCTGCTTAGAGCTCTGAAAATTCAGATGTGCTTGAGCTCAGGCTCCTAATATAAGGGACGAGTCTAGTTATTTCCATATCTATAGGATAAGGAAATTTGCAGGCTCTGTGAAATAACTCAATTTGCTTTATTTCTGCAGTTCTCACATTATTCAATAATGTGGCTTGGCAAAAAGAAAGCCAGCGGTAGAGGGAGCCACTCGATGCCCTAGGGAGAGCAGAGCACAGACTTCCATGTGTCCTTCCCATGAAGAAACCGTGAGGGGAGGGAGGGAAAACAAGCTGCTGGAGCCTTAAACCCAGCAAATAAATCTGTTCCCCACCCCCAAAGCAGTAACATGCATAAATCAGATTCTAAACCCTCACCCCACTCCCACCCCACCAGGATAAGGGCCTCCAGGTTGGGCGTTCCACAAATCACATGGAAAGGTGACAGATTTCAAAGATTACTCACAGCAGCTGACAAATACTCATTTCTCGTGCATTAACAGGGAAGGAAGGAGACGCAAACACAGCACTAACAAATGATCCACAGATATCAGACCACTTAGTAATATAAATAGTGAGAACAGGTCTGTGTGCAAGGCCTGGCATTTCTAGCCCCCAACTACAACAGGCAAAACGAACCAAGATGACAAAACCTGACTCCTCAAGGAGAAAGGAATCCTATACCAAGAGATCCAGATGACCGAGGAAGACTTTGGAATGCTAAGTCAGGCCTTGCAGTCAACAACTGATAATGTTAACAGCACACCAGGCTTTTCAAATGCACTGGCCAGCAAAGTAATTTGAGATGGGATTTCCAAAGGAAGCAAGCAGTTAGCGAATCCATCTCCAAAGGGAGAAAGCGGCATCTCCTCACCTCAGAGCCTGCAACACATCTGAGCTCAACGTTCTGCCTAACATGTCTCTTTCACGGGCACATGCACACACACCCTGAGACGACAAAGGGGAAAACAGATATGGATGGGGGACACATGCAGAAGTGAATGCAGCCCCTGAGCCACACACAGGGCCTGTTAAAACTCTGTGAGTGCCACATCCTCTCCAGAGTCCACATAGAGAAGGCTGCCAGGAGCAATGGCCCTGAGGCTCTACTGGGATGCCACACTGACAGGCGTCTCTATTGGGAGGAGTCTGGTCCACTTGAAAGTGGAAGCTCAGTCAGGCTTGAAGGTGTTCCAGCTCAGAGATCCAGCCCCAGGGAGGGGAGGGGAGGAGAGGAGTGCCGCTGCCCTTTCATCCAGGACTCCCAGCCCCAAAGGCTACACAGGGACCTTCCCTGCAGCCTCACTACCTAGCCCAGGTTTCTTCCAGCCCTGTAGAAATCCCTAAGGCATTTCTGGCTAACAGCTGGACGAGCTGACAGTGCCATGAGACTGGCTGTTCCACACACAGACAGCCCCTTGTATGGCAGAGAGCTGATTGTCTCCCACCCAGGCCATGCTCACCCACAGCCACACCTGGCCCTGGCCTGGCAGACTCTTGGCATTTACTTACTGGCAGAAATGGCTTCTGTTCATGAATTATTTGTGCAGACGAGGATGGAGTGGCTGGGGCCAGCCTGGGCAGCAGGGAAAGCTCCTCAGAAGGAGAAGGCCCACCAGCCTAGCACTCCAGGCCAGGCAAGGTATGCCCAGAGAGTGTAGCGCATCCCCCCTGCTTGGCACCACTCAGGCTGCCTCACACTAACAGGCTCTCTGGTTCTCTCTGGCTCTCTGACTAACAGAGCCAAGTGCTGAAGTCTGTAATACTTCGGCCTGATTTCGGTTGTTGGGTTCATGTATGGGTGCTGCTGGGGTTGGTGGCCCGTGCTATACAAAGGTCAGACTAGATCAGGGATTCTCAAACTTCATTGCACCCTGACCCATTTCAGACAACAAAAATTACTACACGACCCCAGGAGGAGGGACCAAAGTCTGAGCCTGTCTGAGCCCCACCACCCTGGGTGGGGGACCAAAGCAAGAGGCCCACCGCCCCGTGCAGGGGGGCCAAAGCCAAAGCTCAAGGGCTTCAGCCCCAGGCAAGGGGCTGTAACCTGTGCTCCACAACCCAAGGCTGAAGCCCTCGGGTTTCAGCTTTGGCCTCGAGCGGTGGGGCTCGGGCCCCAGCTTTGGCCCCGGGCCCCAGGAAGTCTAACGGCAGCCCTAGCGACCTCATTAAAACAGGGTCCCAACCCACTTTGGGGTCCCAACCCACAGTTTGAGAACAGCTGGACTAGATGATCTGGTGCTCTCTTCTGGCCTTAAACTCTGGCTGCTGACCACACTATGCCATCCATCCTCATTCTCTGGACTGCTCCTTCCTAGTTAAGGCACAGATGCACTGGGGGGAAAGAGGTGCTTTCCAACACTAGGGTGTTACACCAGCCTCACCCACAGGAACGGGAGCTGTAAGAGATTCACCTCATTCTGGAGAAGCCCCACTGGCTCCCCCACTCCCTCTGGAAGCACCAGCTCCTGCAACACTTTTGTTTGTCCTGGTCTGCACTACACCCCTACCCCACACATAAGCGAAGCTGCCTGCTGCTCTCCATTCTGTCTCCATGCACACTCGGGAGTAGTGTCTGGAGGCAGGAAAGCAGGTAGGGCTGTGGGAAGGGCACCCTGCTGCTGTGATTTTCCAGGACAGACAGTAGAAACTTCTCCCTTCTCTGGTACAATAGCAGAGCAGCCCACTCCAAAGCAGAGAGAGCACAGGTCTAGGAGTGGCAATGGGCAGCTCTTGAATGAGAAGATTCTGAGGCAAGTTGCTGTGGAATTACACCAGGAAAAGTAAGGTCAGAACCTGGCCCAATGTCTCTTTGCCTTTGCTCCGGTGGTTCAGGACCCATCACTACAGGAATCCCATCTGATGCCACTGTTTCAAGGGAACACCCGCCAGCAATCTGCAAGCTAACCAAACCTGGGAAAAGGCTGCCAACGAGGAAGCATTTTTACCAGGCTCCCTTCCCTTGGTACACATTAAATCTTGCTGGCAACATGCACTCTGCTGGGAAAGGGCTGAGTGGGCTTTGCTGACTCCATGGGGTGGGTGGTTCACTATCCAAACCAGATACAGTGCACTCCATTTATAAAAATCACTGATATAAGAATCAAACAAATACCATGATCAAAGCCACTGGAACAAAATTATTCCTATACTAACTAAAATACTCCGCTTGTAAGAATCAAATCATCCAGAGCAGATGTGATTCTTACAAAAGGAGTGCACGGTAAAAGGGGGATGGCAGTGGCTACCTGGAGAGAGAGAGAGGATCTAGCGTGGTGGGCTGAGCAGTCCTGAGAGAAGAGCACCAGAAGCAGTGAAGGTGGCTTGAGCTGAGCTTTGTTATTATTCATTTCTTTGTCGTTAAGGCCAGACCCCAGAAAGGGGTTAGCTGCTGCCCTGTGGGCTTTGCTTCTGAGTAGGCTGAAAGAGGCTCCCACTCCCTTTAAGAGATTTATCCCATTGTTAGATGCTCACTTTAATGGTTTCCCATTAAAAACAGCATGGACACAAATCCATGAAGGGCAGACTGGCTTGTTTTACACCCTACAAACACCTTTCACCCCAGAGGCAGAGTCTCCGTACATTGAACAGGTTCTATCCCTTTATCACAGAGCCCAGGGGCAGCTTCTCCCTGTGCAAATAGCAGAGACAATGACCAGCAGCTCATAAATCTCCTCCAGTAGCAGATTTATTCATTCAATTTGTATCGTAGTACCAGATTCAGCAGGTCAGAGTCAAGGGTCAGAGGCTTGGTGGCCAGGATTATTTCTGAACTGGACAGGGTTCCTGAGCTGGTACTGCAGGCCTCCCCTCCCCCTGCCCCAACCCCTCTCCACTTCCAGCTTTATCTGGGACGGTTATTTATTAGCACTTATTGTAACAACTTTACCGTTTTTTCTAAATCACAGTGGTTGTGGAGCCAGACAAGCTGGAATGGTAGGAGCTTCGCTACCCAGGCTAACACAAACAATTAAGTGTGTCTTGTTTATTAAATGGAAAATAAATCCCACTCTCTGCCCTTGCCCCAAGCAGAGATATATATGCCCCAAGCCCCAGTTACATTTCAAAGCACAGGTCCGTGGCCCTGACAAGAGGGACTGAAAGCTGGAAATGCACACACACCTCTTGGCTACACAACAAACACAGGCTGTAGGTGGGCTTGCTGTAGCCACCACTCTCACACATGACGAGGCACTGAAGCCTCACAGACTGATTTAGGTGAAGGAGAGGGGGTCACAAACCTGCTTTTCTTTCTTCTGTATTTTCATTATCATCAACTTGAGGATGAATGTTACTTCTGCAAAACACAACACAAACACTCACAGTAAAGATCAGTGTAGCATCAGTGCTGGAAGCCTTTCAGCATAATGCCCCCTGACTGACTGCATGAACCCTAGTGAAACGGGCAGGACAAACCTTAACCATGCTGGAATATTATTAGCAGGGATGGGGAATAGTATTTACGGTCTACATCTCCTGATAAACAGGCATCCACCAACTTGTCACAGACATAATAGTCACTGTTTACCAGACCTTGACAAAACACAGAGCTTTAGGCCTTGCACACACACACACACACACACACACACACACACACACACACACACACACACACTATACGTAC